ATTCAAACTCCGACAGATACTCCAAAAGTTGGAGGAAATCAAAATAAGTAGTCGAAGCAGTTGTGTATGATTTCTTTACCACCCAATTTAACACAAAACGATTAGTTTCAAAAAATATCAAGGTTTTAACTACTTGCCGAAAAAAGTGAAAATTTCAAGCTTGTGCCTGATGCACGTTTTTAGCTAGTTTATAGTTTTATGTTTTGACCAGCTCCAATTCAGGCCTGGTTCTTTGACCATAGCTCGTTAATTTTTCCAGATGCCTCGATCAGTGCTAAATTGCTTGGCGTTCAGTCTGCCGGCAGTCTGGGCATCCGTTTCGTCTCTTGAACAAAATACAGCGTTTCTGTGTTGCATGTTTACACAAAAACAAACACTGCTACAATACGGGTTACAGCGCCGTCTTTTTTTTTTTTTCATTAGTCTTCCCTCACAGACAGTGGTTTTTGCAGGAAATCCAGAGATATGCGAACATTTTGCCAATCAATTTACTACGAACAGTTGCTGAAGATGTTGGCAAAGGGAAATATTTTTTTCCTGCCGGCACACTTTGTATCCCACAAATTTCCATTGCTATGAATGATCCTGAAAACTTCTCGGAACCAAAGGAATTCCGTCCAGCACGTTTCCTGGAAGATGATGGGTGTACACTGAAAAGGCAGCCTTTGCTTTCATTTAATTTACAAAATCTAACACATTTGCTTTTCGAATCGTTGAATAATTTTTTGCTTAACTGCAATGGGTTTTCAGATACGATGCGTTCTTGCCATTCTCGCTTGGTAAGCGACAATGTTTGGGTGAGTCGCTGGCCAAAGCGGAGCTGTTCCTGATTTATGCTAACCTGATGAGGCATTTTCGTTTTCGGACCGTGCCAAATAAACCGAATCCGTCAACGAAACGGCTTACAGGCCTGACAACATCACCACTGCCATACAAATGCATAGTAGAGAAAAGGTAGTAACCACTAGTGGAATAACTGCTAGCAACAAAATTGGAAAAGCTAATGATTGCCTACGGTATATGGGACTGGTCGTCTTGTTCTTCTGAAAACACTCAGATTAACTGTAAAGGCAAGTAAGGCTTGCATATGTCTTCTCTTTATACGTGGCGGATTAATTGCTCAAAGGATTTTTTATTTGCAGAAATCGAAGCTTTTTGTTCAGCGGGTATCATATTTCCCTTTGAAATTAAAA